ATGTACATATTAAATAGTGTAAAAGCTGAAATATCTATCTATCTATCTATCTATCTATCTATCTATCTATCTATCTATCTATCTATCTATTTGACTGCCATTCTGTCCGCATCTATCTATCTATCTATCTATCTATCTATCTATCTATCCTTCCTTCCTTCCCGGAAGATTGGTTAAATCTCATCTATCTATTCGAGAGAATCTATCTATCTATCTATCTATCTATCTATCTATCTATCCTTGAGAAATTTCTTCCTTCCTTGCCTGAGAGAAAAGAGATGAATCTATCTATCTATCTATCTATCTATCTATCTATCTATCTATCTATCTATCCTTCCTTCTTTTTCCTTGCCTGGTTAAATCATATCGGATGAATATCTATCTATTTATCTATCTATCTATCTATTTGACTGCCATTCTGTCCGCATCTATCTATCTATCTATCTATCTATCCTATCCTTCCTTCCTTCCTTCCTTCCTTCCCTGGCTGGTTAAATCTATCTATCTATCTATCTATCTATCTATCTATCTATCTATCTATCTATCTATCTATCTATCCTTCCTTTCTTCCTTCCTTGCCTGGTTAAATCTATCTATCTATCTATCTATCTATCTATCTATCTATCTATCTATCTATCTATCTATCTATCCTTCCTTCCTTCCTTGCCTGGTTAAATCTATCTATCTATCTATCTATCTATCTATCTATCTATCTATCTATCTATCTATCTATCTATCTATCTATCTATCTACTGTCAATATATCAAAGCTTGATTCAAAATTTCTTGATTTCCCTGTCGAAATTATTTGGAAGAATTTACCATTTTTTTTCAAGAAAATTTAAAAATTCTTCATGTCTTTCTTAAAAGCTTTTCACATGAAAGAGTTTTTTTTTTCGCCCTTTATACTGGGGAGAATTGGATACTTTTTTTTTGTGTTTTTTTTTCCTCTTTCTTTTGGTAACCATATCCTCTTTACTTGAACTGGACTGACATTGCTGAGGCTGAATTTCAGTTATCCGCGATAAGTCCATGTCAAATCTTTACAAGCCTAATAATGCGAGGCCCAGTATCCAAGCCGACTGCAAAATGCAATCAGATCACCAGGAAATAGTTACTGATAAGATAAAAAAAAGCAAAGGATATAAATAGATATCAATATTTCTTAAACCAATAAACAATAACCACTATCATTTACATTATACAGACTATTATCCTCATCTTCATTGCGATATTCACAACGTTTCGGCCGTTGTACGACCCGGCTTTCTTCAGGCCGAAACGTTGTGAATATGGCAATGAAGATGAGGATAACAGTCCGAATAATGTAAATAATGCAAGTAATCATAATACCTCATCTGAGATATATAGACAGTCCTGACGATTGCATCCAGCATGAAACTGTCGCCTCTAAGTGTTGAATTCTATGTTCACTTATATATATATATATATATATAGTTAGGTAATGAAAAGTTTTGTAATCCGTGTGATAATCGCAACGAGGATGTAATCCAGAGAGCTCAATGTCAAACCAGAGCGAATATTGATTTAATTAAAATCAAAAAACATACAACCTTAAGGGTCCTTTGATTATATTTTATTTCCACAGGATGCTTGGAAATGTGATCTGAGGTACCAGGAAAAACCACCTTCCTGGAGAAATAAAATATAATCAATGGACCCTTAAAGTTGTCTGTTTTCTTATTTTAATTATATATATATATATATATATATATATATATATATATATATATATATATATATATATATAAAGGCATGTTTTATTAAGGAATACGGAACTTTTCCGTTTAATAATCTTTTTTCTGTTTTTTTCTAGCTTTTTTTTTTAAATACTAGGGTCTAAGTTGTTGAAATAAGACCCTAATCCAAAGAGCGCTTTCGGTTATCGTCAATTGTCATCATGGCTATATGTTCTGTTTTGAAATATGTTGCTTATTATTTTAGTTTTATAGATAATAATATGGGTATTTAGAGAGAGAGAGAGAGAGAGAGAGAGAGAGAGAGAGAGAGAGAGGGAGAGACAGGGAGAGACAGAGAAGAAAAGAAAATGAGAGAAATACTTCCTCTTTTTTGAAAAAAAAATTCAGTTGGTTTAGATTTTAGCGTGGGTCCCATAGTTGATTGATTAATCTCGGTAAGCGCACAAACCTCATTTTAATTCTGTTTTTTTTTTTTGTCTTCTCTTTGAAAAAAAAAGAAGAGGAAGTATTCTGCTTTTGCAATTAATCGTTCACTCACAAGTAATTTACCATCGCCCGAGGAGACACATTTGTAGTGTTGAAACACGATTCCTATTGTGTAGCGATTTTTAACATATTTTTATTTTAATCTCCGATAATAAATATTATATATATATATATATATATATATATATATATATATATATGGAGGGGTGGATTGGACGGGTTTTGCATTTTTACAATTACAATTCCACAGTTGTTGCTTTTCCACACAGAAGCTGTTGACTCTCTCCTCTATCTCTCTCTTTTCTCTCTCCCTCTTTATATATATATATATATATATGGGTCGGTGTGTTTGTGTATGTATGTATATGTGTGCCTGTGTTCATGTGTGTGTGTGTGTGTGTGTGTATAAAGAGATTTCACTCTGTTCGTCTGCGGTTTTTGTGGAAGGGAAATCGTCAGTAAAATCCAATCCTTGTAAATGCGAGGATTTTATATGTTTACACATCTGTTAACGCCGCGTCTCTCACGTGCCGATGATAAGGATTATGGTGTCAAGGCGGGTCTTTTGTTGGGGTAATGTCTTGAGCCGATCGTGCTTAAGGTGTAATTTCCTTCGTCCTAAATGACTAGAATCACAGAAATAAAACTTTCTTTCTCTCTCTTTCTTTCTTTCCATGCTTTTCTTTCCATAAATCCGACTGTTTAAAACCCACTTTAGGGACTTCTGAACGTCATTTTGTTCTTTTCGAGTAATGTAGAAATAGAATAATATTAAATCGTGCCAAAAATATAACTAACTCCAAAAACGTTATAAAAATATTATGAAAGTAATTCCGATAATCATCATTAAGAAACATACTAGTGTGATTAATCTTTCTATTTCACGCTCATTCATATTTTACTGAAGTCCCGTAGACTGTATGTAGTATTGGACCACAGTTCTCCAGTAGTCTACACACCTTGAGTGTTGACTAAAACATGGTTGTTTGCAAAAGGAATAGCTCAACATCAAATTGCAACATTATATACATTATTCAGATTATTGTCCTCATCTTTGTCGCCATATTCCTTACAACGTTTCGGCCGTTGTATACTCCGGCCTTCTTCAGGTGGTTGGAATGTCGAACTGACCCCTTTATTTCGTTCACTGGAGTAGACTGTTCTAGTTCCAGGTGCCATGTCTAATGTATATCAGTTATCAGTTATCTCCTGTTAATGCCCCTCTCCAAGTTCTCCACCACTTAACCGACATTCTGAAGAAGGCCGAAGTGTACAACGGCCGAAACACTGTTATAAATATGGCGACAAATATGGGGACAATAGTCCGAATAATGTAAATAGTGTACATAATACCTGATCTCAGAAATATAGACAGATACTGAATGGGTGAAATGTTGTAATAAATATGGCGACAAATATGGGGACAATAGTCCGAATAATGTAAATAGTGTACATAATACCTCATCTCAGAAATAAAGACAGATACTGAAAGGCCGAAACGTTGTAATAAATATAGCGTCAAAGATGAGGACAATAGTCCGAATAATGTAAATAGTGTACATAATACCTCATCTCTGAGATATAGACAGATATGCAAATTACAAATTGTCGATACCGAAATCCAATGGATGCAACAATTTAGATATCTGGGCAGTGGACGGAAAGTGCAACATTGAAACCCGGAAGCGCATTGGGATAGCGAATGATGTCTTCGAAATGTTAAGCAAAATATTAAGAAACATGAAAATTTCATTAGAAACAAATAAAATATTACGGGTCTCCTATGTAGTATCATTCCTCATTAGTATAATTAGTGAGTGCTAGATTATCTCCTTACAGATGAAGAAGAAAATTAAGACAACAGGAATATAGTTGTGACACTATTTAGGATTGCTAGAAAGAAAGAAGAAAAAAAGAAAAGGCGAGAATTAAATTTAGGTGATAAGAAGCCATAACGAAAAGGACACTAAGCGATGTTATTTTTCTAACAAAGAAAAGTGGTAAAATTTTATTTTCATTATTGAGAAAGTAAGATACTGGATTTAATCTGATTTATGTTACGGGGCGGTGAATAAAATACAGCCGTCCACCCATGGCGATAATGGAAATTTCAGTTTGGTCGAGTGACCTACGAAACAGAAACTGAGAGATAATATTAATTAGGTCATGCACTGGGTCGCGGGAAAAATGTCCGCTGGACCACCAGGAAGAAAAGATTGACCCATTAGCCATTTACGGAGATGTCACCTGTTTCGTGTCAGGAGCTGGCTATGATAAGCAAAATTATTTTATCAGAACGAATAATTGGCACCAAGGTGCGATACGTCCAATTGACCACCCACTTGTTTGGCGAAGGTCCCGAGTGATGAATCCCAGGTGACTTTCAGGATAAAATTGAGATTAAGAGACCCCACTACGGGCCGTATTGGGTTGTTGTCGAGAAGAAAAAGAAAGAAAAGAAAAAGAAAAATAAATTTTTTTCTTTGAGCAAGATTTTTTAAACCGAGGCTAGTCTGGCCACACCCACACTGCTGGGCGCCCATTGGCTGAATGCTGGCGAGAGCGTTAGGCGAAGGTAATCATGTGAAGTAGGAGGGGAGGCCTGTTGACACCCCTTGAAGGGATCGGTATGAGATGCCACTGTGAGAGAGAGAGGGGAAACCCGTTGACACCCTCTGAGGGCATGGTGAGATACTAATATGAGAACAGAAGAAGTTGGGAAGACGAAAGACTTCCAAAAATGGAAAATAATAAATTTTCCTGACCGAAAACAAAGAAGTGGATTGTGGATTTAGAATTATCAAGGAACTTCAAACCCCGACAAGCCCACCCCGGTTTTGGTCGGCGTCCATATAAGCAGAGTCGCAGCGAGTGAAAAGCAGTTAAGTGAAGTTGAGTTAAGTTCGCAGTTCGCAGCTGAGTTGAATTGAGTTGGGCCCGCTTCGCAGAAAGATTCCACGCAAATCACGACCTCGACTTCTAACCAAGAGCAATTTATTGTTGAAGAACGACTTAGACTCACACCACCAAAACAAGTTTTACGAATATCGCCTGAAGATACACCAAGAACCAGTTTCTTCAAGAACAAACAACTTAAGATGTTAAGACTCGCCTAACGAACACAAAGTGTCAGGAATCCATATAGCGGGTTGGGAAGAAGAAGCAGCCCTGTATTCAGCAACCAGATATAAAATATTGTTATCCTTTTTTAACAAGTTTGAACATTTCGAGTTATTACATATACTTGTGCGATATTACCCTTGTCCGGACTCAGCTTGCATTACGGCCCGGCGACTGATTGATTTCGTCTACCTAAGATCAAATCACAACGTGGGTAGGTTAGACTAGAGATCAAAACAGTTACTTCGGTAACTAGACGTTGGAGGCGAGCTGGGAACGACAAGGCTGATACCGAATCTAACCAGATTCTCATCCGAATCAGCAAAAGGTTAGAACGTCACATTTGGTGCCGCGACCAATACCAAGTTACACTGGTCGCCACGGGACAGGATAAGACGGCGACGGTGCGGAGACAGACGAAGTGACGTCACAATTGGCACCGCGACTAGGAAAGTTAACAGCGGGCGCGGCCAGGCAGACGTCACGATTGGCGCAGCGACACCGGGGGACGTCACATA